TAGTTTACTTATTCTCTCCTCTTTCAGAGAAGCATTTATGAAAGGCAGATCTGCGATTCTGGAAGTTGAGGGTAAAAAGAACAGTTGCTGAATAATTGGAGCTTATACAAAATGTATGTAGCAATGCACATATTGACTTACTTCAGAGAATATAAAAATTTATTGTCCCTTGAACTAAATATTGACACAGACAAAGCAATATCAATATTTATCTCCCAGGTTAATACGTTTTTATATTCACCTTAACATTCATCAATATGTGCTTATTATTATTATAATGTTTGTCCTTCAGCAGAAGAAACTTGCATGTGGTGGAGAGGGAAAAGGGAAGTTTGCATCAATATTCTTTTCCTGTTTCAAACTTCATCAAACATTTTATCCTGCACATGGAGCATACTGCAGCCCTCATTCAAGCAAAACTCTTATTGATGGTTGTGATGTTCTATGCACTGAACACAGGATTGAGTGATTGATATTGGGGAAATGTGAAGTTAACTGTCACAAGCAGAAAGGGCAGCAAACCCACCATGTCTGTTTTATAGACTAGTTGCTTGGTGGTACTTCCTGCAGCAACTCTGTAATGAAGACAGAGAGACCTACTTAACAGTGCACAGACACAGAGGCATAGTGTGGCATGCAGAACAGAGATTGAGCAGAATTTGATTCCAAGTTCCAGTGGTCAGTTGCTGCCTACAAAATGATGCTGTTAATGTGGAACAGGACAGCTGCAGATTTGTTAGGAGCCTTGTGGCAAGCTTACCTGTGTCACATGTGTCACTCTGCATCTGCATGCCAGCTAGAACTTGATTTGTGGGCACTCTGTACCACAGAGAACACAGTGGCCTATTTGAGCCTCCTGTATTTGTTCCAAGAAGCAAGTGTGTGTGGGCAAGAAGAGGGCGGCCACTTCACTGTGTCTGAAGGATTATCATTCTGGTCTGTCCTAGTGCCTTTTTAACCTAATTCTAGACCTCAGATGATAGAGGCTTCCTATCTGGGTGATGAGGGCAGGCTGCACTAAAGGGATGCGGACATGCAGCACTGTATGTCACAAAACTTGTCTAGCATCTACAAAGGCCTTTTAGCACATGATTTATGCTATAGATACCCATTTATGTGCAGATACGCCCTCTGGCAGTTAGGCAGAAACACTGTGAGTTCCACAGCAGCACTGAAGAAATGCCATTGTTCCCCTTGCTTTTAAACCCAAGGGAGCTGTTGGGGTAGTCTGGGAGCAGTAGTAAAAGGTGTGCTCCTCCCTCCCACCCGCCTGTTCATCAACAACCAATTGCTGTTGGCCAGAGACAGAGAGGGTTTGAGTCCTGTGTTCTGGGTAGTGGCTGAACACCAGCTGCTCATGAGAAGCTGCTCAAAGCTGAAGGTCTGGATCCCACCCAGCTGCTGGTAGACCAGAGAAACTTCTCCAAGCTCTTAAGTGACAGAAGCAGCAGTGGCAGGAAATCCTTGAGGCTGGAGAGCAAAGGCAGTCCCCTCCTTGAGGTGCTCCAGTGTTCCTCAGTTGAACATCGAGGAAGCGCAGCCTGTCTGGCTCCTGCTGCTTGACAGCATTGCCAAGAAGTGCCAACGCCATTTGCTATCACTTCGGTTGGTTTCTTTGCTGCACTTAAAAGTCAGGCTTGCAGCAATGAAAGTAACAGCTGTTTGTAATCTGACATTTCAATGACAATTGTCAGTAGACAATAAGCATATGGTGGCTGACTTCTCACTTGCAGACAACTGCAGCAGCAGAGGCACGGAGCAGCTGCAGCTGCTGGAAGCCAGCACTGCATTGATCTGCAGTTGGGAAGGTCATCTCAGTGACTGAAGACTGCAGTGCGTGACTTCTGATGTTTTTCTCAAAAGCTAGAAAGACAATAGCTTAATGCCCAAGGTCCCTATTTCTAATCAAAGGCAAGATTTTTGAGTCCTGGTTAAAATAATAAACATAGCATAAATACATGCCAAAACCTCACCTCCTCAAAGTAACACTCTTAATTAGTCCTGGAGTCTTTGTTTTCTTCCTTGTGCTGAATCGGTAGTGACTGATACTGTGACCATCAAGAACTCAATTAGCTCTAAGATGTATTTGTGTGTGATTTCAAAACCATTTGTAGCAGAATCAAATCAGGAACAAGTGCTTTCCTTGTGATTAATGTTGCTCTAGGACAGTAAACTTAATAATGAGGGGTGGTGTCAGTATTTTCCTCTTTTGGGAGCCAGTACCTTTGACACATGGTGGGAAGAATTTGTGATTCAGGCATAGGGCATTAATGTCACATTATACCTTTGAGAATAGTTGGGCCAAATATGCAAATGTGAAATGTGTGCTAAGAAGTCTCCCTCTGACCCAACTGCATCACTGCCTGCGCTTGACTCATAACTCAGTAACCATATGCTTATATTCCACTGACAATTGCCATTTAAATGTCAGTTTACAAGCAGATGTTGAGAACCCACCTTTTTTGCCATTAATTAAATCACAGAAAAGCAAAATTTGAGGTTTAATGCTGCTTAGGGTAACAATGACAAGAGAAGCAGCAGAAGACAGCAGACCTTATAGTACCGGGGTTAAGATGCACGGACAAATGAGCATGTACATGAGTTGCTACAACAGCCTTAGTTAACGGACTATGGCAGCCAAATACAGCATTGTGGCATTTCCTAGAGACGATGATCATTTTGTAGACAATCCTGAGTTTTGTGGAATGGCTGGCAGAGGCCAGGGTAGAGGGGAGATGTTGGACTATAAAAGGGGACAGATTTAAGTGCTCAGGTGTAGAAAGGACGACAAAAATCCATTCAAGAGCAGAACAAGCAATATCTGGAAGGGTAGAGAAGGCAGCCCTCTCTACTCTGCCAGACTTCTGCATGTATTTAAAATCCCTCCCAGTAAAGTTCATAATGAATTTAATTCAGTCCCCTATGGCCCAGAGGAATGTTCTGAGTAATAAAAAAGTATTGCTAAGGGATAGATGACTGCCAAACTCCCATTTGGTGCCAGAAATGCATAGTTATATTATTGGTGCTTAAATGCTAGGTTTATTTTACTACATAAGCGATCCTTTGTCACATAGTAAGAATTAATACTGAAAGATACACTTCTGGGAAGTTACAGTAACAATCCCCAGATTCAAATCATTGTTAAATTGGTATGATTTGTTTTTAAAGAGTTTTGTGGTTTTTTTTTCAGATTATAGTTGAATGTTGTAGTTCGTATTCTGGGTAAGCTATTTTGTGGCTGGTTTATGGCTTAGTTTTTTGAAGTGGTTTTAGTCAAGGATCTTTTCATGCCTGCTTTTTTTTTTTGTTACCTTGAAATACCTGTATCAATGTTAAATGAATTGTAAGCTCAATCACTTACTTACTGGTTGAGATATATTCACTTACACATAGTCAGCTAGGCTATGGTGTATGGGCTTTTGATGATTAAACCAAGAGATTCAAGTGTATGTTGGAAATTTCAAGCACCAGTGATGGAGGTCACTGGACCACAGCATCACACTGTTTATAAACATCAGTACTCATGGAAGATAAATCTTTGCTCTCATCTACTGTGTCACTCGAGTGCAGTGGTCAGGAAAATCAGAAAAAAAAAATGGAGCTGCTGATTTTTTTCACTTTAACAAGAACCAGTGGAAGGGAAGGGTGGATATGAGATGAAACATGAGAGAGTTTAGCTCCTAGCAGGCAGCAAGCTCATAGGAAAAATGCATCAGTCCTGGTGTAAGAGGCAGTTTGGTTTACTTTCAAGCTGACACAGTGTAGCTTAAACACCTTCTGCACTTTACAGTACAACATAAACTTCCATGGCCTGTGTACAAGTTCAAATTGAAGGCAGCAGTAATTCGGTCAAAATATTTCACATGCTGAGGTCTGAACAGAAAGCTTTTCTGATGGGCTCTGCTGCTGCACTTCACTTTACTTCATACCTCCACGTCAAGTGTGACCAGCTGAAAAAAATGTGAATTAGTCGGTGTGTTTATTTACACCGTGCATCTCCCTTGAATCCATACGCATTTTTTCAAGCATCAAAATGAACAATTACTCATCCCTGGAAAACAACAAAGTTTTGCTGCCACCTTCTCCCACCCCCCAAAAGACCCACCTCACTGCACTGCAAACAAGCACAAACAGCTCATTTTTCACTTGCTGTTCACACAACAAATACACAGTTCCCCAGAACAAAAGTGACTGAAGAAGATAAGGGGAAATCTTAAGCATTTTGGCAGTTTGAACTAGAAAGAAAAGTCAATGGCAAAGAATTCAGATACAAGCAAAAAGTTAGACATCTTGAAGCACTACATTTGAGGGTTAAAACCGAATGCACACGTTGTTTCCTTACAGTTTTTCACAGCCATATTCGTAATTTAGGAAACTTAAACAGTGTAATGAAGTGTCCTGTTCCTTTCTAAGAACCCAAAAGTTACACTGTAGAGCTTGTTTTCTTTTCCCTTGAAAGAAATCATCTGGTAAAATTTGCCAAGAATCCTGCAGACCTCAGTTTATGGACTTTGTCTTTCAGTTGCACAGGAGAAAAAGCCACATTAAACCAGTACCATAGTTTTCCTGCCTTTTCAATAAGGCCCGTCACAGGTCACAGCTTGGGGTTCCTTATTTTCTGTTGGTCTGTACCAGGACTGCTATCCATGTACAGGTTATGCTGACAGCAGATTAAAAAACAAGCACTGAAGGCTAGGAAATTTGCAGGACTAATATAAAATTCAGATCAGCTTTTGACACACAACAGGCATTGACAAGTGAGGCAAGAAGGCAGAGAAGAGTAGGGCAGGGAAGCAAAGGGACCTGAGACTGTATAGGAGTGGAATGAGACAAAGGTGAGTTACGGCAGTTAAAGGACAGAAAATGGCAAAGGGAGACACATTTGCCAGTTGCCTACTGTGAACAGCCTTCCAGGGCTCTTACCTCGTGCTGTAAGTCTAAGATATGCTACTTCCCGTCCTACCAAAATTATTGTGACATGAAGTGATTACAGAAGCAGATGATCAAAAAAACAACTTTTATTTGGTAGCTTATTCAGTGAGATCATAAATTTGTTAATTATACCTTTCATTAACAAAATTAATTAAAAATAAGACATTTCATACCTTTTCTTTGCTCAGGGGTGGTGGAGGAGAGAACTTGGACATACCTGTTTAAGCCCTGGCAGTTTTGAAGTTAGGAAAAATCTTTCTTCTCTTTTCTGCCTCCCTTCCCCATTATGTTAATGTCTTCCCACTTGTGAAGTATAATGTTCCTGGCTTGGAAGATCAGCATGCACTATTTCAAAATTGTATTCCTATAGTGATCTGTTCAATGGTGCATTCTACAGCAAGCTCTTTGATGGAGGCAATCTGACTTAGTCTAGCTAGGTAGGAATTAAGTGTTTCTGTGCTACTGTTGGGAGGAGAAGTTAGATGTTGGAGATTAACAATACCACCAAAGCCTACTGGAAATGACAATGGTGCACCATCAGGATACTCTCTACTACTTTGTGCCTCTCCGCAGGGAAGCCAACCTGCAACTTCTGCTCCCTCCCAGTGTTCATATAAGACACGTTTCCTGCAACGAGAAAAACAAAGTGGAAACAGTAATCTGGTGGTGTAAGGTGTTTCAGAAGTAATGCTTGGTGGGGGAGCACTGAGAGGAATTGTTTTGTTACCTGTTATTTTATGCAAGAAGTCAGGATTTCCAGTGCTTACATGCACCAGAAGCAGCGGATACCAGTGCAGATTGGAGTGCCTCTCCCTGCTCCATCTCCTGCCTGGGAACAGAACCTGATCAAGGTCACCCACACGTTACTTCAGGGCTGCTCTTCTGAAGACAGCACCACCACTGAGCCCTACTGAAAGCCAGTCCATAGAGGCAGAGTTTTCAGACATCTAGTCACCCCCTTTTTAATGCCATTAGTGATGCAGCAACATGTATTTATACTTACATATAAATACAGAATGATCAGATACCACATTTTAAAGCATAATTTATAATCTGAAACTGCTTACACTTTCATGACTAGGCTTGGGTTTTTCTCATTTACATTCATAATTTAATTCCACTGGAATTTGATTTTAAGAAAGCCCAACGTATCTTAACTACCATAAAAAGATCCATACATATTTTGCTTAAAAATATCTTCTGTAAGAGGAAATTTACCAAAAATAACAGGAACTATATTATTATGCATACATTTTCTTTTTTTTTTTCAAAGTACAAACAAGAATCTGATCTCTTCTGGGTATTGCCTGATCTAATATGGCTATAGCTTCTATTTATTTTGTTTGTTTTTCAAAGTAAAGGGAAAGACAAAAGAAATGTAAGAACACAAACTAAAATAAAAATGCATTCTTTTTGAAGATACACGTATCAGTGAAAGAACACTAATAAATGGCCATAGGTACAAAGAAATACCAGCCAAGCAGTATGCACTCTTCTGTCAGAGCATCTGCTGCAGTGACCTTGTAACAGTTATTAAAAACAACAAACAAAAAATGCTACGGGTAGAAAAAGCTGTCAAGCGAAACATTGAGAAATTGGTACCATTTCCTAATGAGCAAGCGCAGAACTGATATTTAGTGTTTTATGTTTTTTTTCTTTCCATATATGCACACCTCTTCCTCTTTCTGTTCACAGGACTGATTATTGCAACTCTGGCTGTATGCTGGATGCCAAACCAGGTTAGAAGGATCATGGCTGCTGCTAAACCAAAGCAGGACTGGACCGTCCCCTACTTTAGAGCATACATCACTCTTCTTCCCATTGCCGACATCTTCTTCTACCTCAGCTCGGTGGTGAACCCCCTCCTGTACAACATCTCTTCTCAGCAGTTCCGCAGCGTGTTCCTGCAGGTCCTTCGCTGCCACCTGACCATACAGCATGCCAACAAGGAGAAGTTTCTCAGAGCAAACCAGAGCTCCAGTGCAAGGAGCAGCCGGTCTCTGCGCCCACTGCTCTTCATGTCGTCTAGGCGCAATTCTTCTAGGAGGAGCAATAACAAAGTTTTCTTAAGTACTTTTCAGAATGAGACCAAGCCTGACTGCAGCCTACAGGAACCAGCACCTGAACCACAGCAGTCCAGCTTGGAAGTAGTGCCTTTAGAGACTAGCTTAGAGCCCAGCGCAGATGCACCAAACGGCCTTTGTGAACATCAAGTATGACTTCATAAGGCAAAGTTAATGATTAGCAATGAACTTAAAAACATGGAAATCAAAATGACCAAGGAATTAACTACATCTTAAAAGGAATAACATAGGTGGATTTGTTTCCAGTTATGCAACAAAAGCAGAGTTCTGTATCCTGCTGATGGGATTTTTAAGTGCACCCTGGAAATTCAATCTGCTAACTGAATTCATTAGCTGCCAAAAATATCAGCCCCTTTCTCCCCACAACCACTGAATTTCCCTCTTTGTTGACAGGGATTTGGAAACAAACAGAAAATAACAGCAGTGTCTTTGAGGAAAGGAGACAGAACAAACTTTATCAAGGCAAAAAAATACTTGCTTGAAGTTTAGCAATACAAAATCCACAGAGCCAATGTAAGGAGCAGAACAGTGGTTATTATGTGTGCCCTGGGCACCACACCAGAATTCCCCCTCTTCTTCGGCCGGGGTCCATTGCAGAGTGGAGTGTTACAGCAGCTGATACAAACAGAGTTCACCTTCCCCGGAGAACAAAAGGACTGGTACCCAGCAGAGGCTATCAGACACGCTGCTGAAGAGGCGCAGGATTTGCGATACATGATTCCTGTGACACAGAGTAAAGGTTACTTAGCTTGATATGCACATGGTTTTGCTTTACAACACGATTCATGCTTGAAAACTGTTGCAAAACGTGTTTACATTTCTAAAGCCATGCTGGTGATGTGAGCCAGAGCCCTCAGCTGTGACACGGCTAATGGCTCTGCACTGCAGGAGAAGCACAGCCACTCTGCTTCAGATTTTCCTTTTATTTGATTCCGGTTGGAACCAAAACTATTAGACTCAAATGATGCATTCTTACAACCAGAATCCCCATCTTTTGGAATAAACTGCTGGAATAGCTGTAACTGAAATGCAGTTAGTTTCAAAATGGTTTTTGTTCCTGTTGCTGAACACATGTGAGTTGTTTAAGGTGTCTAATTACAGTTTTCTATGCTGTTAATTTGTCTTTTGAGCATTTTTTTTCCTTTTCTTGTTCCTTTGCCTCACACAGACAAGTAACCAAGAGTAAAAGGAGAATGACTATCAGCAAAACTTCACACCCTCACCCCTTTTATTCTTTTAAAGAAAAACTAGAAATACTTTTCCAGGTAATCTCAGTTCTTGCTGTCTTTGAAGCTTAATACCCTCAACAACAAAAATTTCCCTTTGTACAGAAATGGCTTTTCTGAGTTGAAAGTCTACACTTTTAAAATGTAATTGAAATTAATCTAATTTTAATTCATAATCTAATTAAATTTATATTCTATCAAATTGTTTTTACCTGAGAAAAAGTACATTCTGGTGCACATAGCTGTTATTTTAAAATGGTTCATAAAGGTTTTAAAATACATAGTTGCATTTTCCCCTGACACTGGAAAAATGGCTGTAGCAGTTCCACATCTCATTGCTCTAACGTTTTCCTGCAAGTGATACAGTAGAAATCGTGTGTTGGAAAAACATACACATAACACATAAATAGATAATGGAGGTTTGCTGATATTGCCTTGTGGTTACAAAAAGAAGTAAATATTTCTAAGGCTAATAAAATCACTATTTCTTTTGAATACACAGTTCTCAAAAGTTTTTTTTTCTGGTGGATGAAGTGCCTAAGCCATTATCCATGATGTCTGAGAAGCTGTGGCAGTCCAGTGAAGCTCCCACTGAGGGGAAAAGGGGAAATATAACCCACATTTTTAAAAAGGGAAAAAAAAGACCCGAGAAACTACAGGCCAGTCAGTCTCACCTTTGTACCTGCAAGATCATAGAGCAGATCCTGCTGGAAACTGTGGTAAGGTACATGGATGTAAGGAGGTGGTTTGTGACAGCCAATAGGGCTTCACTAAGGGCAAACAGTGCCTGATGAATTCTGTGGCCTTCTGCGATGGGGTTACAGCACTGGTAGCTAAGGGAAGAGCAACTACCATCATCTACCAGCACTTGTGCAACGTGTTTGACACTGTCCCACACATCATCCTTACCTCTGAATTGGAGAGACATGGATTTGACAGATGGACCACTTGGTGGTTAAGGAATTAGCTGTATGGTCACAATCAAAGAGTTGAGGCCTCTCAATGTCCAAGAGGAGACCAGTGGCGAGTGGTGTTCCTCAGGGGTTGATACTGGGACTGCCACATCTTTGTCAGTGACACGGACAGTGCACCCTCAGCAAGCTTGCCAATGACATCAAACTGTGGTGCAGTCGACCTGCAGGAGGGAAGGGATGCAGTCCAGAGGGACTTTCACAGGCTCAAGAGGTGGGCCCATGCAAACCTCATGAAGTTCAATAAAGCCAACTACAAGGTCTTTACACTTGGGTCAGGGCAGTCCCAAGCACAAATACAGGCTGGGTGGAGACTGGATTGAGAGCAGCTCTGATGAGACAACTTTGGGGTGCTGAACAACAAGAAGGTCAACATGACCCAGCAGTGTGTGCCTGCAGCAGAGAAAGCCAACCGTATGCTGGTTGGCTGCATCAAAAGGAGCTTGCCCAGCAGGTCGAGGGAGGTAATTCTCCCCCTCTACTCTGGTTTCATGAAACCCCACCTGCAGTTCTGTATCCAGCTCTGGGGCCCCCAACATAAAAAGGACATGGACCTGTTGGACCAAGTCAAAAGGAGGCTATGAAGATGATCAGAGAGCTGGAGCACCTCTGCTGTGAAGACAGGCTGAGAGAGTTGGGATTGTTCAGCCTGGAGAAGACAAAGTTCCAGGGACACTGTAGAGGAGCTTCCAGTACCTAAAAGAGCTGACAAGAAAGCTAGAAAGAGGCTTTTTACAAGGACATGGAGGGACAGGACAAGAGGGAATGGCACTGAACTGAAGGAGGGGAGATCTGGATTAGTAAAGAACTTCTTCCTACTATCCGTGAGGGTGATAAGGCACTGGAACTAGCTTCCCAGAGAGGTTGTGGGTACTCCATCCCTGCCAGTGCTCAAGGCCAGGCTGGATGGGGCTTTGGGCAACCTGGTCTAGTGGAAGGTGGCCCTGCCTCTGGCAGGACTGGTTGGAAATAGATGATCTTTAAGGTCCCTTCTAACCCAAACCATTCTCTAATTCATCTGAAGAGCATTGAACACGATTCCCTTGGAGACTGGTGACTGCATCCTGTGGCATGGTTCCAGAATGTTTTTAAATGCACAATGACTGAGATATTTTTTAGCAGGAGTGAAGCAGAAATATGACCCGTAGGTACTGAACTCACAGTAACTGCAGACACTGTTTCAGTCCTTGGGGACTTCAGAAATAAGCACTACCACACTGCACAGTCCAGTAGAGACCTCTGAAGTAGCAACTGCCACTGCGCTACTGAGTGCTGTGTGGAGCAGCAAAACACGGTTTGGGTTATGCTCAGGAAGAAGGATTTCCTGTCTTCAGAGAATTTTAATTAAATCAATTCTTTTACACTATCACCACACTGCTGCCATCCCAAAAATGCAGGGGTTTCCCTGTTTTCTGTTCTCCCTCTGCAAATCTACACTCTGAATCATGTTTTAAGTCTATCTATCTAGTTAAACTCATGGAGAGAAGCCCTCAAGTCAGTGTTAAATCATTCTCTGTCTCCAGTGAAGGACAAACAATCAACACAGCAGGTAGAGCCTTTTCTCAAGAAGGAAGAGGAGCTAGAGGCTGCTCTAGCTGTAACAACAAAGGTGCACAGATTGAGAGGTACGATCTTTTTTTACAATACTTTGTAGAAAGCAGGGAGCTGTGTCACTGTTGGCAAACCATTTCTGTCAATGAGCCTCAACTGTGCTGCCACCAATTGGTTTTCAACACTGAAATCTCAGCTGGTGCTTCCCACAAAGACCTGGCGCTTTATCTGTGTTTCTCCTGCAGTCTTCAGGAGCTGAGGCACTTGTGACTCCTCCCATACCTATGATTATATTTTTTCCTTCCCCTTCCCTCTTGACATAGGAATCCTGTATTCAGTGCAACTATGCACAGAGATTGTTCTCACATCTCTAATCCTGCATCTCCTCATCACGCATTCCTTCCCTGTACCTACCACTGCACAAACCCAGCCGCTCCTCAGTCTTCCATATGAACAGCAGTGAATCCACTTTCCCCTCAAAGACCAAGCCTCTAAAAAGTTTTTGACATTGGCAATTTCCTATTCCTGGTGTTTTATAGATCACTCTCTTCCTGCCATTTCCTTTTCACAGGATTACCACAAAGCCCTGTTCTCAATTCAAGCTATCAAGTGATTTACTAGTTTAGGTCCCTGAAATACCATATACTTTGCACTTTTCCCTTTTAGACAAGGAGACTAGAATGGTTGGGTGCTGTGAACAATTAATATAATGACCTCTGAAGCATGGTTTTCACCAGGCAACTCTAGAAGTCCTTTGCGAAAAAAGAAAATCAAGTCCTGCAGCTTAACTGCATGCGTTTACAACAGCTCTGTTGTCCAGGATAAATTCCACAGAACGATCCGGAGCTCCTTCTGAAGGCAAAGCACAGTATTCCTGCACAGATTGAAATTTTACATCTCAAAGTTTCTTACAGCACTGGACCATGTTCACACCTAAATACAGACAAGGATCTAAGTAGGAGTAAAAATCCCACTGTAACACCTCTCCTGTGGCTCTTCTGTAAATATGTCTTACAGCAGGCAATTCCACTCCCAAACGACTGTTTATTCCCTTTCCCAGCTCTAGTAATCAGAATTGTAACAGGATTCTTTACATAATTAAAAAAGTCAGCACTTCTGTTGGCTTTTCAATACTTACTTGCCTGAAGACATGCCCTTCACATCCAAGTTTTTTTTCGTAAGTATCAATAAGATTCTTTTGAGCTCGCAAATCAGCTGCTATCATATACTAACTGTGCTTTTTACGAAGCATCAGCTATGAATGAATCTTGATCACCATAGAAAAGCTGTGCTTTTCTTTAAATCTGCAGTTCCTTATAGCAAAATACAATGAAAACAGGCATAAAGATTGATGGAAAAACTGAGAATGTTAGCACTACAGGAGTGACATTTAAAAAATGCTTCGGCCATGACTTCTCTTATTTTTTAACCATGAGTGTAAAAAAGCAATGACACTTTGAATAGTATGAATTAAAGAAAGGCAGGAAAACTGCTCTTAAACCTATTTTTCTGTCATATTCTGATTCCAGTTTGTGGTCAACAAAGGAAACAAATTAGTACAACTGAATTCCCTGGTATGATGCCAGGGATACTACTGTCCTTGATC